GGTGAGAGAACTTGAAATGTTTCACATTTTTAATGTTCAGAAAGAATAAATGCCTACTACAATAACACTTTCATTTATAGTCTGATTCAGGAGGGTGAGTCAGATTTAGCTGAACACATCGATGTGTCTGTGAGGAAAAACCAACCGATGGATCTTTCAGATCTCTGCAGAGAGGAAGACTCTTCTGTTGAGCGCAGGTGAGATATTATGAGTGTCATATATACTGCAGGTGTGGTGCATTATGAAAATTCACCAGGTGTCCCTGTTGCTGCTGGATGTTTCTGTGTCTGTCTGTATCTATGTGTGGATTGCTCTATTTTATTCTATAATGCATGAATGAAAAGGGCACATGGGGAAGATTGCTTTAATTGATAGAAAAACAATACTTTAATCTTTTAACTCTCAAGTTACAACAGACTCCTCACTGAAGAAAAAAATCTGTTGGATTAACATAAAAAATATGTACATCAGTTGGACATATTTATGTTATGTTCTCTCAACATAATTTATCTCTGTTTATGTTACCCAACTTACGTTTGTCAAATGAACATGATTTTGTTATGTTGTTTTTTGCTTTTTATGTCACGGTACCTCATGTTGATTTAACATGATTTTTGTTTAAATGAAAGCTTTATCCACTATATGCAGTGGTGATTCAATAAATTAAACAAAACTATGATAAAATCTATGATAAAACCAGATATTTAGATTAATAACAAATTAAAAAAGCTTTGGTCAACTATAACATTTTATAACATTTTAGCAACCTTAATATTGTACATTATTAAAAGCAGTAAGGCAATAAGCAAAACCATTTCTTGGAAAAAAAATACTGTATATTTTTCAACAGTACACAACAATCCATACAGATTACAAATATACAAAGCATGATACACACATAGCTCATTTGTTTGAAATGCATCTGTTAAAATATAATGTAACCCCATATAAAACCAAAATCCAAAACAAAAAATCTATAATAATACTTCATCCCCCAGGGCTTCATCTGCAGCCTGGAGAATGCACAGTAAAAAAATAGATTCAATACAACTCTGGAAATATCAATAATTTAATAATATCTGTATCCTGAGAAATGTAAACTTGAATATAATGAGAAGCAGTTATGGTCAACAGAGACTGATTACAGACAGCGGACCTTGACAACGGCCGACAATGGTAACATCCGGTTCAGTTTCTCATGCTGACACAAAATATAATCTAGTCGACATACAAAGAAAAAGATTATACACATTAAGGAAAACGTTAAAATATGATCATTTTCAGACGCGGCTAAAGCTAGTGTTAACGTTAGCTAAATTGAGCATTAGCACAAACGTTGCTTTTAAAACAATGTAGTTTGATATGACAAGTTCATAAAACCTAAATGAAAATGTGCACATTCAAATGCTGAATGGTTACTCTAAATTGAATTATAGTTTCATGTTTTAATTACCTCCGTGTAGAGATATTTCAGGAAGAGAATAAATGATCCGAGTCTGGCTGATAGAATCGTCACACACATCCGATCATCAAGAAGTCTGTTCATCATGTGTCACATACCAGTCTTCTGCTGGATTTCAGCCGCTGTTCTGGAGAGGATGATGGGTAAAGTAGAGAGTGCAGAGATTCCCAAGACTCTTACACAAATGTTCACACACTTCCTGATCTTTCAGACCAAACTGAAGACACAGAAGTTTGACAGGAAATATGAAATCGATTCTGATCAGGCTAGAAAGACTATTCTGTGTCTAGGAAAACTAGCTTTTGAACAGCTGGAAAAAGGGAACCTGATCTTCTATGAGGAGGACCTGAAAGAGAGCGGCATTGATGTCAGAGAAGTGTCCGTGTACTCAGGAATTTGTACCCAGATCTTCAGAGAGGAGTTTGGACTGCAGCTGGGGAAGGTGTACAGCTTTGTTCATCTGAGTATTCAGGAGTTTCTTGCTGCTTTATTCAAGCTGCTGTCCATTTCTGAACAAAACACAGGACTGAAGAATGTGTTCTGGTCACCAATGACCAGTTTACTGAAGAGAGAAGTGGACAAGGCCTTACAGAGTGAGAATGGACACTGGGATCTTTTCCTCCGGTTCCTTCTAGGTCTCTCACTAGAGTCTAATCAGACTCTCTTACAAGGCCTCCTGAGAAAGACAGTAAGCAGCTCTGATATCAATCAGGAAACAGCTGAATACATCAAACAGAAGATCAGGGAGAATCCCTCTCCAGAGAAATCCATCAATCTGTTCCACTGTCTGAATGAACTGAATGATCGTTCACTGGAGCAGGAAGTCCAAACATACCTGAGCAGAACAGGTGCCCGTTGCCTCTCTGGAGTCAGACTGTCTGCTGCTCAGTGGTCGGCTCTGGTGTTTGTGCTGTTGAACTCAGAAGAAGAGCTGGATGAGTTTAATCTGAGTAAATATGATCCATCAGAAGAATGTCTTCTGAGGCTGCTGCCAGTGATCAAAGCATCTAGAAAGATTGAGTGAGTATTTTACAGTGTCTTTGTTTTATTGACTTTATTTTATACAGTAGGCCTGTGTTTCTCTACACTGTTTCTGTATATTTTGAGGTCTTTCTTATTTGACACAGTGAGTGTGTGTGTGTGTAGTGATCGCTTATAAAAGATACAGCACTCCTCTCCTCAGTGAGCTGGTCGATTTGACATCTCATTCATGGGTCTGTGATAAACGGTGAATGCACTTAACTCATCTTTATTTTTTCTGTATTTTCTCTGCAGTCTTTCCAGCTGTGATATTACACAGAAAGGCTGTGCTGCTCTGATTTCAGCTCTGAGATCAAACCCCTCGCACCTGACAGAACTGAATCTGAGCTTTAATAAACCAGGAGACTCAGGAGTGAAGCTGCTCTCTGCTCTACTGGAGGATCCACACTGTAAACTGGAGAAACTACAGTGAGTCTCTTCACATCTCAGTAACTATAAGGTTTTGAGTAAAAGGTAAAATTACACAAATGTGTTTTCCGTTAGCAGTTTTTTTTTTGTTTTTGCCCTCTCACCCTCATTTCAAACCACTTAAAAAATAAATAAATAAAATAAAATAAAATAAAATAATGTACTTTTGAGTACATTGCATAATGCAATTACAAAATACAGAAAATTTTCTTTAAAAAAATATTCTTACACAGCTTGAAGATCACATTATAACTTACAGTTTTTCTCGATTGCTTAAACACATTTCTTGAAATTATGCCTTTTTTTTGCGAAACTCTTAACACAAATCCATAACTTCTAACTCAATTCCCCGAACGTCCTATATTCAGGTCAAATTATTATTAATCTCTCCACTCAAAACAACCCAATCTTGCTGAAAAAGTAAACTTCAGACATGACACACAAACCCTCAAAAACACACACACTACAACACAGTCCTACACAATGATGAGATAAATTCAAAACAATACTACAAAAACTGGATATACGTTATTTTGCTTGTGGTCCCCTAAGCGATGGAGCGATGGAAGCTGACGTTATCCCAAACAACAACGTAGCAAGGCTGCACTGGTTGTGCTGGCTCCCTCTGGTCAAGCTGGAACTCACGCTCTCTTAGACCATCAAGGAAACCAAGGAGGAGCATAGTGTTATAAGGTCCAAGAATGGCATGGCGGTGGGGTACCCCTCGTTGGCTGATGGCCGCGCACATAGTGATGTTCCCTCCTCGTTGGCCAGGGACATTCACAATAGCCCGATGGCCAATTATGTTCCTCCCCCTTCTCCTTCTTTTGGTTTGGTCAGGTTAAACCCAGCCTCATCAACAAAGATAATCTCATGGGGAGCAGGCCGGCCTTCAATCTCAAAGATTCTCTGCAAAACACATTAAACACAGCAGAGTATGACTACGCTGAAACACAGATCAAGAGTGTACAAATGGCAGACCACCACATACTTATTTGTAGCTTACAGTTGTACTGTGACAATACACAATACTTCATACAATTTACAGTACAAACTCAAACCTGAACATATTCCAGACGTTGGTCTTTGACTCAGTCAGAATTTCTTTCAAAAGGCACATGGTATGCCTGTTTCATCCAGAACCTGTGCTTTCGGAGGATGCGATCAATTGTGGAGAGGCTGATGGCATTTATCCCTCTAAATTGGTGATTGTCTTCAATCACTCTCCTTTGAATCTCTCGCAGGCGGATTACATTGTTGGCAATGACCATGTTTACCAGCTCCCTTTCTTGCTCCTCTGACAAAAGCCTTTGCCTGCCTCCACCAGGTGGTCGTCTCTGTGTCCTACAAAAATTGAAGTACTTATTACTGTAACTGTAATACATACAGAAATAATATCTGTATGTGAGGCAATTTGATGCATTTCTTTTTATTAGAGCAGTATAGTGCAACAGTTACAGTACAATCAGGGGCGTTCCCTCTGAGGAGGCAAGGGAGGCAGTGTCTCCTCAAAAAATTGGATGACAAAATAATCGATATTACAAACATAAATCGAAAATATTACTAAATATGGCATTAAAAGTATAAAAGTTGCTCGTTTTTATAAAGTAACACTGTCCAACAGCGACACCCGCAGGTAAAGTTACAACGGAGGCTTGCCTCCCTTCAGTCCATAGACTTTCAGCAGAGACCCCTT